TCCTTCTGGGGGTGTCTTACAGACTTTTATGACTGGTAGGGCTCACATGTACACTGAAAACAACCCTGTCACCAACAAGGTAAGTGATGCCAATAGAATTCAATTCCAGTGCTCATCACAGTGATCATCAGGTCCCAAGTCATAAATCTAGTAGTTATCTGTCCTACAACCCAAATATGCTATGCATTTGGGGACTTTTATCTGACTCTTTCTAGTTAGGAAGCTCAAGAACCAAAAGGGCGCCCCTAAGCCATATTACCAAGCATAAGAACCTGTATAGAAAAGCCATTTTTTGGGGAAAAGGAAGAATAAAACAGGTCATCTGTACTTCTATTGCTTTCAGAGTGACCCTACCCATCACAGACATGATAAGCATATAATGACAAATGTATTCCATCCAGAGTGGAAAGGAAAACCTAGATATCTCAGGTAGGATACACCACCTTGTTATCTCTCCCTCATGGTTGCTTACTACTTTTGCCAAAACCAGATTTTAGGCTTTGAGCTATACAAGGTTGGAAGGGGGTGGGCATAGTTATCTTTTACTGGAAAGCATTGTTCTTGGCAAAACTGTGCTTGGTTTGCAGCCATCTAGTGACATACTTTGAAATACTTTCTGGTCCACCTGTTCTTCTTGGCTATTTCTCTCTACCAAATATAATATCGAAAAACATTCTTCTCAAAGAGAAATCTAATTAGTAAATTATCCTTTCTTCCTGTGGCTTAGCCTGCAGCTATCGGTCCAACAAAGCTCTGTATTGAAGAGGATGGAAATGCTGAATACACAATGCAGTAGAAGTGTTTTATTTTCCTCTGGACATTCATAATCCATATTCTTGTCTGTAAAGCCTTGGGGTCAGGTAAAGTTTCTATGGTCTGAAATGATGGAGTCTAGAACGCTGGATTGATGTTTCTTTCTTGGCTAATTTCTTCTGCCTTTTTTAAAATTATTATTATTTTTCTTGGATTGTATTTGACAGGATTTTAAGATGCTAATTCACACTGCTGTTCCGGAAACATGGCAGAGAAAAGTCAAATCTTACATAATTTATTCATCAGTGGATCATTTTATTTCAGAAAGATTTAGTTTAGTATTTAAAATTAGGATGCTGGTTTTTGGAAATTGGTTAAAATACAGTATATGGTCACAGTGTTAATAGAGTGTGCCATGTACATTAGAAAAGTGGTCTTCTAATTTTTAAAAAACAACCAAAAAAACTTCTATTTTATTCTGATCCAGTGCAAACCTGGCATTCCAGAAATTCTTGTGTCACATTCAGAAACTTGTTTCTCCTCTGTGAAGAAGTCAGATGGGTTCTTTAAGTGTCAAACGCAAAGAAACCGTACCCTGCGTGATGTTCTTTGCTATAGGGACCATCTCAAGAGACAGAGGATCTGCACGTGGCCAACACCTTTTTCATCCACAGCCCAGATACAAAGTACCTCTGACCAGTCTGGTTCAAGCCCACTGAACCACCGCGTGTGTCTGTCAGCCCCAGCATTATGAGTCATCTTTGATGCTGCGCTGGGAAGCCCAGTGAGAAAGGAGGGTAATTTCCTGCGTATCCTCCTTTGCATGGGAAATGCTGCAGAGGTACCTGATGTATGTGCCATGTGAAGACCATTCTCTCTCTGTGTGTACAATGGGAAATAGCCCGGTCCATTGACTAGATACTATTCAGAGCTATCACACTGTTGGGCATTGGTCTTGGGCTACACAAAGAGCAACAAAAGTCACAGAGATTTCAGTGGCACAGGGCCGATTTCCATGACAAAGTGTATGCAGTATTTTAAAAATATTAAACTCCTGGGTAAAATGCAGCAACATACTACTGGTTATAAACTACAGCTTACCCATTTGTAGATGGATTATGTTACAGCTGTATAAAAAAGCAATATATCACCAAGAAATACGTCATTGTACTCTTCTTTTTACTGAACTAAGCATTGGTTCGAATTGTTTCCATATGAAATCTGAAGACTCTTATTTGCAACTTGGAAAGCATTAAAAGAGTTCTGTTTGTTTTCTGATACATTATTTCACAAGGACAACCTTTTTTTTTTTTTTATTCCCCTGCTAGTTATGTTCTACTATTTAGAATAATAACACAGAATGAGCAAACTTTTTCTTCCAAAGCAAATTAAGAGTGATTTACAGCTGTTGATCACCTCTCCCACTGCCAAAGTCAAACTAAGCTCAGGGTGAAAAATAGCAGGAAGAACTGTTAATTTAGGATAAACAGATTTTGTTTCCAGCTGAAACTACAGAGGGTGTTTTAGCTAGTAATCACAGGGGCTGGCTGGCTGGCAGTGGATTAGTGCACCCATGTGAAGGAAAGCCTGCCATCTCCCCAGGCACACTCAGCCTCCGTGGCAGCGCCTGGCTTCTCTGCCCAGTATGAACACCACCCCTCTGTGTTCTCCCTGAGGGAACCGAAATTAAATAAAGTAGGTGTGCAGGCATCCACCACAATTTTGTTTAAAGGCAAAGGAAGAAGAAAAAAAAAATAAAGAGAAAGAAGAAACAAACCCGGGCTCAACTTTTCATCGAAGCTGAGAATTGGGTATGAATCACTGCTTTTTAACTTCTGTTCATCATGTCTGATGTTAAACAAATCCAACAGCAGAAAGTAATCTGACTCTCTGTTTAATCCAACCACACATAACAATATGTCTGGGTGAAAAATGCAACATAAGATTATGAGATTTATACCATTTTGAAGAGATTGTGAGTGAGATTTTAAGTGAAGCTCTACAAATAGCACTGCATGGTATCGTGGGGCATTTTACTGTTTTGACAGATGTTTGGTTTCTGTGAAAAGTTAAATAAGCTTATAAAGAGATTTCATGCTTCTTTTCCCCCATATGTGCATGTAAAACATTACCAAAATTAATATCTGCATGTTTTCTTTAAATGAGGTCCACTGGGAAGTAAAAGAAAAGAAACTGTACAATTGTTAAAGCTTTTCACAAAACAGTTTAATAAGGATGTAACAGATTCCACATTAGCAATTTTTAAACTAAAAGAGCTGACTCACAGTCCATTGAAGTGAATTAGAATTCTATCTCTCATTTCGATGGTCTTTGAATCAGACAATTTGAAATACTGAATTTATACATTCATTTAAGAGTACCTAATTTTTGGTGAAAGAAATGTACAAAGTAGTATACCGCTTTTTGCTACTGAGTGAAGTTAAAGGGTATAATTGAACAAAAACCTGTAGTAAGTCCACCACTGCAAATGCCAGATGCCTTAATTATCACCCTCACACTTAGCACTATACTCCAGCACTGTAGCTGCCAATACAATGCTACGGGTGTGCTGCTACTAGAGATTTTTCCCAATCTCTTGCCTCAGATTGCCAGTAGCTATAATTAATGCAACCACAGTATTGTGCTAGAGAAGTGATTCGTCACAGCTATTGGGACAACCGCCACTGTGTGACGCTGTTAATATAGGTGGTGGAAAGCAAAAAACATAGCTGCTTATTTCAACACGGTCCGTACCAATTCTGACGTCTGGAGTAAGAGGGAGCAGGGATAGGAGGTTTGTTTAATCAGCTGTCATTTATCAAACAAGAAAGATTCGTTTGTCAATATGAAAATCGTTCTGTCGTAAGAGGGGAAGAAAGGAAATGCAAGAGAGGGAATATTTTCTGGGGGAGACAATGCAGATGAAAAAGTTAGAAAAAGTGACAATCTTTTTATCTGAAAAGGAGCCTTCTTGAGCATCACCCATTTTAAATGCAACCTTGCAAGTAGCCACCACAGACATTAGTACACAGTATAAATTGCTTCAGAGAAACACTTCACAACACTGACAAGAATCAAATTAAAAAGAAAAAAATCAAACAAAAAGACACGTGGCACACACTAGAAACAACAATTCTCAGAAATGAAACATTAAGAAGCTCTGGGCCAGTATATTACATTGGCAACATATGAAACCCATTTTATTTTTTTTAGTGCAACAGAAGAAACTGGAGCTAGGGTAATAGCTATTCTCAAACAGCTACTTCTTTGTCAAGTATTTATTTCAGAGCCTGATGGAGGTTTTGAAATGGATCCCTCTTTTTCCATGTAGGCTAAAGTGACTTTACGGCCACCCGGGTCCCTTCATCGCTGTTTCACAGCCGACGTGGCATGCGTAAGACAGTGGCTTCACAGCCGAGCGCTCCCTTTAAACTTTATTATTAGCACACCTTACTCTATGTGCGGACACCTTCAAACGTCTCCCGGCTCAGTGCCCTGCTCCTCGTGAGTCATGGGGCCGGTTATCTCCTGTTATCAGCAACCTGCTGCGCAGCTCTGAAGCACAGCAATAATCAGATTTTTTTTTCCTCCAAGACCTTTTCCGCCCTGCTTCCCCCGAGTAGCAGAGAGAGCCAGAGCCCCACTGAGCTGGAAGCTGTCTGCAAAGCAAAAGGTGGCTCCATGACTGTGCTGCTTCTTTTCTCAGGGCTTTTTTGCTCCCCTCTTTCTTCTTCGTTCTTGGGGGAAGGAAAGGACAGAGAGAAGCTACTTGATCCTTCCTGGAGGAGGGCAAGGTATATTTTGGGAGGACTTTTCCCAGCGTCTCTACTCTCCGAAGGGGAGGTGCATACCAAGAGATGCTGAGCAGGGTCGCTTTCAGCTGGGGGGAGTCTGAGCCTGAATGCTGAGGCTTGACTGAGGCAGGCTCGACTCAGGGGCCTGAGGGTTCCCACCCACCGAGCTGGAAGTCAATCTGTACAAAAGGAGGGTCACTGCGGGACCAGTACAGCCACACATCAGACAGAGATCCTGGCTGCCAGACCCTAAGTCAACCCACATGTGTGGCCATTTGCTAAGGAGGTGTCAAAGCAAATGCATCCGCTCTCAAGGGAGGCACGGGGGGGTGGGGAAGGATGGGACAGCAGACTGAGGATGTGAGGTTTTCTTTCTTCTTCGCTCCTTCTTGTGCCAAACACCACACAAGTGTGCGGTGGGCAGGACGGAAACCCCCTCCCTCCCGGCCTCCCCATGCCACAGTCCTGGCCTCGCTCACCCTCCTGCTGGGGGGCAGCAGGGGATTGGGGGGCAGAAATGCTTCCTCAGAGGGTGGTAATCCTGGAGGTGCAAGTGCCATTCCTGTACATGCTCCCTGACTCCAAGTTGTCTGGGGGAAAGTCCTCAACGCTGTATGCTCTGCTTTTAAGAGCAGTGGCATAGTAGTCGATGGGTTCCTCTGCAGCATTGTCCATCCAGCTGAGGCAGAGCAGCCGCTGGAAGGACCGCTTGAAGTTGTCCGAGAGAAAGCCATAAAGGATGGGGTTGGCACAGCTGTTGGCATAGCCCAAGATGACGGAGAGCTGGCTGATGGTGGCATCATCCTGCTCTACGAAGACATTGACCAGCTGCACAATGTAGAAGGGCATCCAACAGATGACAAAGACCATCACCACCATCATGACCATGAGGGTGATTTTGCGCTCCGAGCGTTTGCGTTGCTGCCAGCCAGCCTTCAGGGCCACCATGCGCATCTTGGCAATGATGAGGATGTAGCAGAGGCAGATGGCCACCACAGGCAACAGGAAGCCCATCAGAAAGGTGTAGACCACAAAGACTACCAGCCACCTCTGGGTGGGCTCTGGCATGAGCATGTTGCAAGCCACTGTTCCATCACTGTTGGCCGCTGTGTTGGAGAAGATGATGATGGGCAGGATGATGAGGATGGAAAGCACCCAGACACCCAGATTGACCATCTTAGCCACAGTGGGCCGGCGGTACCTAGCAGCTTTGATGGGGTGCACCACAGCGATGTAGCGGTCCACACTGAGGACAGTCAGGCAGTAGATGCTAGTGAACATGTTGATGGCATCCACGCTGAGCACCAGGCGGCAGAGCAGCGAGCCGAAGGGCCAGTGGTGCAGAAGGGTGGAGGTGACCAGAAAGGGGACGCTGAGCATCAGCAGCTCGTCCGCGATGGCCAAGTTGAGGATGTAGATGTTGGTGGCCGTCTTCATCTTGGCATAACGCAGGATCACGTAGATGACCATGGAGTTGCCGCACAGCCCCACCAGGCATACCACGGAGTAGATGAACGAGATGAGGATGGCGCTGCCCTGGGACTCACTCAGGGTGCTGTTCGGGGCGCCGGAGGAGTTCCTGCCGCCC